AAAACAAACAAATAAAGATACAATAACGTGAATTTTTAAAAGGGTGAAAGAAAACAACATAACAACTAGTGAACTTTCTTATAAGTCATACTAATGTCCGAAAATCTTTCTCCTTGTCTCCAATCTCATCACGAATTCGTCACAATGTCCATATTGGCTCTCATCATTCATTTTTTTTTTTTTTTTTGATGGTGAATTATTATTATTTGTTTTTATTTATTTATTTATTTTTATTTTATTTTATTTTTTATTTTATTATTATTATTTTTTTTTTTTTTTTTTTTTTTTTTTTGGGGGGGGGGGGGGGATGATTATACAGGCCACCCTCCCACCTGAAATATTGGGGGGATATATCCCCCAAACCCCCCCCCCCCCCCCTCCCGGATCGACACCCATGGGCCCAGTGATCTCGTAATCGGGAGGTCCCGAGTTCGTATCACTAAAGAGCGCTAGTCTCCTCACTGAGCGGCGTATGCTTGCGAACGTTGCGAATTTGGATTCGCCAACTTTTCTGACAAATGTTGGCGAAAATCAGGGTTCACCTCTTTGAATGTCCAAAATTTCTTTCCGATAAGAAAAACTGTTTGCGAACTTTCTTGCAACCTTTTACAAACCTTTGCAACCTTCTAAGAACCCTGGCGAAACCCCAAATTCGCTACGTTCGCAAGCATTCGTCGCTCAGTGAGATAGGGCCTTTACTCACACTGACTTACACCTGTAAGGTGATTCATTCAATTCAATTTCTTAATATTGTCCTTGCCATGATAGCAATTTAAAAACATTACAATCTCCTGCTTCTTTGCTGTGAGAATGAAACTATGCATTGTACATGCACACATTTTACTTGTGAGTGGTGACACAGTACGAAATAAAGATATTTTGAAACATTATTGAATATTACTCAGGACTTGATTTTGAAAAAAAGGGAAACAATGCAAGTTCTACTGTTCTGCTTTGCTTCATATGGTGGATAGGTCACGTGACGTATAAGATGGCGCCAATCACACGGAGAGTGTATGCTACATACTTGATGCTGGCAATGCTGTGTGTACTAGCTACATACCAGGGTGCATCAGGAGGTGCCAACGATGACGAGGTAAAATACGCCATAAGATTATAGTGCTCTACAGTACGTAACGAAAAAGGTTCAAACTTTGAAAATATCCTCCAAAATGATCATTGAACGATATCTGCATGATTTTTAATTACAAAATAATGGATGACGGTCGATTCAATAGGATGGCACTAAAAGTATTGACAATGTGTTACGCTTGAGTGAGCATTCGCTTATTTACTCGCAATCGTGTAATAGAAATCATGCAGATATAGTGAAAGTATCATTTTAGAGCATATTTTCAAAGTGTGGACTTTTTTTTATACGCATTGTATACATGTACTGGAATCGTTTGAAATGGAAATCCACGCGAAAAATTGTGATTCAAAAGAGTTATTCGATCACTTCTTTAGAGTTGATTCAGCTCCAAAAAAAGTGATCCCTAAAATGACACCTTTGAAAATGGATTTCCACTCCTCTCCATTAATATAATAGTTTTGTTTTAAAATAAGTGTAATATAAGCCTTCTAATAAAGATAAGAACATATGGGAATGAAAGGTGATAATTAATTTATATACCCGCGTTATATTATTATTGCAACTAACCTTTTTGTTTAAGTCCATTCACCCCTCACTCATCCATTAATTCCTTCATTTATTTCTTCATTCATTCATTAAATAGCCCTTGTATCGTTACAGTCTAAGTTTCGTCAAATGTGTCGTGATAAGATCATCGCCTCCTCCTTACATACATGTATATGTCAAATAAATGGAAATGCGTACTTTTGAAAGTGAATCATATTTAACAAGTAGAACTGTTACATTCTCATGTTTTTATTTTGTATCCAGGATTTTTTTTAATGACATAATCTTCCTTTATCTGTTCTGTACCTGTTGTCTATGAAAGAAATTGTTATTCTCATTATGACTGCTTATACAGTAGAAAATAAGACGAGATCAACATCACTAAATAGGGCAAGAATGCAATTTTGAAATATTATCAATTCGTGTCGGTGTTGTTCCTAACTTTCTGCAATAATCTCACTTTTTATATTCCTTGATTACGCATGAAGTCTAATATCTTGCTTACAAACAAATTTAATTGTTGCTCATTGATTGTTATATCAATGTTTCACTATTTTGTATTCACAGTCCTGTACATCACGAGGAGGAACGTGTGTCCCACAGGAGAGTCCGATGCGGGACATGTGTTGTTTTTCGGAATCGAGTACCTGTGATCCCCCCGGGGATAAGAAGTGTGAATGACAATGGAGCTTTGTTCAAGGTTGATCGTCGTTCAAGATGTACTTGTGGCACGATGGGTTATATATAAGTTCTTTGGAGACAGCATGCTGAGGCCTTCATCCTACAGTGGATCGATAATGGCTGAAAAAGAAAGAAAGGTTATCCGGCGAGATTCCTGCAATAAATTAATGACAGATCATGATGATTAAAAGTGCTCAAAGCTAGCCTTATATCAATTCATATTTAGATATGTTGATGTTGATATAATTATTAGGCCTATACTGCAGCTCCCCCGTACGTATACTACTGTAATTATGGACATGAATTTTGGTGATTGGTGAGATATTCATTTTTAGATGAGATAATTTGAACGTAATATCTGTTAGTTTGCCGACGCCCCACCTTGTCAACCACATCACGTGATACAGGGTCTGAGCTATACTGAACTTACACCAAACTTTCATAGACAATGTAATATTTACAATACTTATTTATAATCTGTTATTTAGAAATTCATATGTAAATCATTGTCCATACGAAGAAGGAATATTGTATCATGCATTTATATAGAACCATTATTGCCTCCATCCCTCCATCACATCGATTCAATATTATATTTTGAACTTATGAATTATGAACTCAATATCCCTTGCAAGCTAGAAAAAAAATGATAAAACTTTAACCTCCCCCCCCCCCCTCCCCCCTCATTATCATCATCAAGTGCCGGGTGTGTTACAAACATCGGCCGTCATGGCCCTCCATTTCTGCCTATGTTTCGAGTATTCTTAAAGAGCTGGTATTGCTAATTACATTTTTGGTTGCCCATTTAAGGGTTAAGGCTTCTTAATATTTTTTCTTCTAGATAATCCTATCTGTATAATTATGTCACAAATTACATTTGCATCTTTCTTATTGTGTTGATGAGTGATGGTTTTACTCTTGCTTTCATCTTATTAAATATATCCTTGCCGTTGCAATTCTTTTCTTTATCTCATGAATACTTTTCACATCTGTTTTCTTTTTGTTTAAAGGAATTAATAAAATGAGAAGGAAATACATTTGTTTAAATGTTGAATCTTCTTTTAGCGTCGTACATACCAATAATTATGCTCATATATTCGAGGAGTAATGTTAAGCAATGTATTTTGAATGACGACATAATATTGATAGCAGTGATTATATTTAAAGGCGGGAATACATGTACCTTTCTTTGGATGTGATATCATCAGTAAAATGGAACCAGTTTGATGAACAAGATATTTATATAATATTGACTGGCCTTGAGGGGTATATCAGAAATATTGACCAAGCTCAGATCATATTGCCCCGAGTCGAAAGACGAGGGCAATATGGTCTTAGCGCGGTCAATATTTCTGATATCCCCCGAAAGTAAAGCCAGTCAATATTTTTATTGTTATCCAAATCAGACATCTAGAGCAAATACAGACATCCACCATGACAATCTCAAGAACTGAACAAACTTTGTCAAACCAACACTGTGCATCCAGTGCTTGACAAAATTTTCGATACACTACAAACAGTGTGTATTTGGTGTGATTATTACGTCACAATAGAGTGCGCGCAAAGTGTGCAGGTTCTCGTACGCATAATATTAATAGATGCGCAATGAAAATGCGAGACCGTGGAAAATACCAAGGTATATTTTCACTCGTCTCTACACGCAAAGTCAATACGCGCAGGGAGACCAAGGAAAATACAAAGAATATACCCCTCCGTTCCCACTGCTAGTGAAAACTAGGGCAATACGGTTTTGTAAATGACCAGCTCAGATGTCTGATACGGGTAATAATGTTTGGTATAATAGAGAAGACGAGGTGTGAGTATAGTTCATTATATACCTCACTTAAGAAATCCAGCCATCTGATTGGTCGAAATTGCAGTCTTGATTTTAGCCATTCCCGTAAAGAAACGAAAAATGCCAAAACCATTTAATAGTCCAAGAGTAAAATCCCGGCAAAATTCCGTGATGTTTTAACCAATCTTTACTCGATAAGGCCATTACAAAAATATACATGTTTAGCGTCCCCGCCCGCTTCCTTTTCGGGGGCCGCCTCCTATTTTGTTATTATTATTTTTTTAGCAATTTTTTTTTTTTTTAATTTTTAATTTTTTTTTTAATTACAAGAAATAAAACATGAAAAACACTGTTAAAATGGATTTATTTCTTATTTTAAAAAAAAAAAAAAAAATGTCTGCGGCCAATTTGAAAAATAGCCCGACTGTCAGGGGAAATGTACCGAGCGGCCATTTTGAGCAGCCATTTTGAAAGAAAAAAAAAACGGCCTCCTCCTTCCTATTTTTGGTCCATAAAGGATAAGGTTAGAATTATTGGTAGATTTTTGTTTGAATTCGGCATATAAAAGAGATATCGACTGCTTTAATACTCGAGGACTGGCTGTTTCTATACTGGCTCTCGGGAAATTTGCCTCCGCTGCTATCACCCCAAGGCGCACCTGGGTGGGTGGCGCGCCTCGGAGTGATAGCAGGGGAGGTAAATTTCCCCTGAGCGTATAAAAACAGCCAGTCCTCTCGTAGTAGTCGATATCTTTATACTATTACTAGTACTATTCATTTCAATACATGGGCCAGGTGTTCGTTATAGAACATTAATCCTGTCAATTATTTTTCTTGAAATAACTATTTCACTCATCTTTGTACAGGGTGTCTAAAACACAAATAGTACTAGTAATGGTGGTGACTGTTGTCGGTGTGGTGGTGATTGTTGTCGGTGTGGTGGTGGTGGTGGTGGTGGTGACGACGGTGACGATATTGGTGGTGATGGAGGTGATGGTCGTGGTTTTCGTCGTGTTAGTAGTGGCTGTGGACATGTAGTAGTGGTAGGATTTCAGAACTTGACTGATTTTAGATTTTAATGTATGAGCATCTACTAACTTTGCGACCTCTACTTCCCTGTCCTGAGCTGAAGATGGCGCTATCCTGGTTTTGTATTTGAGTACAATTGAGTGTAAACTGTCAGAAGGAAAAGGGCGGTCGTAGAGCTACGAAATTCCTGTTCGAAGAACAATATAGAGCATTGATACACAGATTCAATAAAATGCTTTGTATCTCCCACCAACAATAACTCCTGCAAATCAAACGCTTGTCCTAAGACTAACCGACATGTATTGAAACAGCCATTTAACTGAATGGATTCAGTTGTCACACTCAAACTTACAAATGTGTACATATATTATGTAAAATCTAAAATCGTACTTTCTAAGATAGCATAGTTATTGATCATTCATTATTCATATATCACTGATTCGGTCCTTTTCCCGTCTTTTTCTTTTCTCTCATTTTCCCCTTTTCGTCAGGTTATTAATATAAGCTTTCCCTTTTTGCCTTTCCTTCTCCCTTCTTGTACTTTTGTATTGTTCTTTGACCATGTCAGCTCCTTCCCTCCAATTAAGTTAATTAAGTTTATTTCAAGGGGGGTTCCTCCAAAACACACACTTAAAAAAATGAGGGGGGTAACCGCCCCACCCCCCCCCCTTGCGTACCCCCCTCCCCCCCCCCCCCCCCCCTTGCGTACGCGCCTGATATTGACACACAACATACACATTGAAGAAACCCACTACAGGTTAGCGAGTTAGCGGTCAGGGAAATCATTAAAGCTCTTACCAGGTAGATAAACATCTCGAGATATTGAGGGTCACAAATCAGAGCAGCGACCGACCGATCAGTAGCCTGCTCGTTCGCTGCTGGAATTTAGGCATCGCCCAGCGATTAGGTCGGTGCTAGTCCAGCCTCTGTACCGTTTTCGTTTAGCGCACCCAATCAGCTGATAAAATAACACACCCTCAACGTTGAAAGTAGACCTAGCCATTCCTCTAAATCTGGACCTCGAATGCTGTTCAACTTTTAGATGTATACAAAGTCAGACTAATAACCGTACAAATGATCAACTTAGCCCAACTCCTCTATTGCTATAGCGCCCCCTTAGGTCAAGGTTTTGCCCAAATCAGCGTACCACTATAACAGCGTATATCTCCATTTATGGCTGGACTCCCAAACTTCTATTTTTCCCTTTCTTCAACTATTCATACAGGATACCCTTTTATAACCCGGGTAGAGAGAAGCAATAGAAGCAACAATGCCGGCGAACCCGGCACGTTATATATGGATTATGTATGGTAGATTGTAGATCTACAGTAATTTCGAACTATTTTGTATCTTAATTGTGCAATTAATGTATTCGATTTTTTGTTGTTGAGAGAAAAAGAATAAAATAACATTCCAAAACAACAAAATCAATCCCCCCCAATACAAAAACACACCAGCCACTGTGGAATGGACAACTCCCATGTACCATGCACTCTGTTCGAGGCACCTGTAAAATTATGGATCTTCAGTGATAGGTCCCTCAGAAACTAGTGCTAAGCCCGTCACAGAGAATTTTTGATTTCAACTGAAGCCTCTCAGTGCATAGTGCATTGATTTTTATTCAAATTTCATTTTAACTCTCCATATTTGATCAATATTGTGTTTTTGGCACTTGAGCTATCGTTGGATTGATGGATGCGGTTAAAAGTGTTGGTGTATTATGTAGATTTGTCATATTTAGATTTTGAGTATTGGCAGCGAATGATATCATATTGAAAAGGATGCAATTTATAGTTGTACACAATAATTGTCAGTTAATATATTCTCTATTTCTCCATCTCTCTCTCTCTCTCTCTCTCTCTCGGGCATAAAGAAAATATGAATATAATATAGGGCTTTGATAAAGACAACTTGAACATTTTATCAGTATTGAACAGGGGGAAAGAAATGGGTACGAAAATAATCAAAACGAATATCTAAGATACATGTATTCCAAGACACGAATCGGGCATTTTTTACGTTTATCTCCGTTTTAGCTTTTAAAATGATTAAATTGTATTATTAAAATAGGCCTATAGCATACCTAGGAAGAAGAAATTTGTTTCAATTTGCGATAAGAATTTTAAAAAAATCTGTTTGTACCACGGCAAAAAGAAACGTAAAATCATAGATCTCATAATAATTATAACGATGATTATAGCAGTAACAAAAAATTTGCTACGATGATAAGCCTATTAATCTTGTTTATTTTCCCTTTCCGATAGGGTATTTTATTTCAAAAGGATTCTCTGAAAAATATAATTGAACATAATAGAATAATCGATGTTACCAGAAAATTGTTATACTTTGAACATAACATATACAGAATGGACTATCACCAAATATCGGAGTATAAGAAAGGTTCGTGAATCAGAAGAGCAATACTGTATAAATCTTGGCCACCACCGCCTTTACGGCGGTAAATAATTTTCAAATGCTAGATTTTGCCTTTAAGTAGTGTAGAGGAACCCCGACATAGCATCAATGAATAAACAGTAATTATATATGCACTAGCTTTATCTATTGATGGGAGTTGGCCCATGTTTTTTTTTTGTATGAGACTCATTTCTGTCTGAAGTAAAGTTCCAAAGAAAAAAAGGAAATTCCTGACATAAAAACAATGATTGACTTTAAAGGTTTTGACCCTACCCTGCCACTCTGACAAACAATCCAATACACTAATACATGGAGCTGGAACTGTAGCGTAAAATCTGATGAGAAACACAAACTCAACAAAGTGTAATACCGTCCAGAGGATTTTTTTTATGTTGGGGACCGGGGTAAAATGCAATAAATTATTGAAAATTTATTGCATTTTCTTTTTTTATTTTTTATTATGGAAACTGTCCCCTACCCTAGCCCCTGCTGCGTACAGTCATGGTTCAATGACAAAACAATGGCCTCGTAACTGTAAGGCCCCATGATCAAAACCGTGTCGATGTGCTATATTAGTGCCCTTTTGTGGGGCATTAATCCTCATTACTGTCATTTATGACTTGAGGGCGTAGGTCCCTTAGTTAATAAGCAAAGTAGCATACACATGCTTTAGCAGTCCCGCAAAACACACATTGGCAAATTATTATTCAATAAAATCTGAAAATGTATACTATTATCTGGATCTATTATTTTTAAATAATTTTTAAAATAATTCCATAAATTGGGGTAAAACTAAAATATTCCACCTTTATGAGCGACAGTGTATTACCTTTGCTTCAGAGGATCAATTTGGAATAATTATTCAGTACATGCAGTGTTTCAGTTTATACCCACACGTTGACTTTTTTTATAATTTATATTATATATTTTGACGTTTGGATGTAGAGTTAACTTGATTGATCATTGCAGCTTTTTTCACTTCTTCACTTTCTTTTCTTTTTCCCTCTCTTGCTCCCTGTTCTTGTCTATTCAAGTTTATGTTGTTTCCCCCTTTTTCTTGTAATGATTTATTTGTAATATGATATACCTGAATGATTTGTAATGTTTTTTTTATTTTTTTTTATTTTTATTTTTTTATTATTATTAATGATCTACATTGTATTTCTATTCATAAATTATCAATTTCATTGTACTGAATTTAATAATGTTCATAATCATGTTGAAAATGTATACAATCCAGCCCTTTGGTTGCTATGAATGAATAAAATAAATAAAAAATAAAAAAATAAAAAAATAATGAAGTATTTTGCCTATCCTTATATCATACCATATCATATTGTAATACAGCATCTGAGGAACTAACACTTTAACAAGCTCTGCTTCAAGTTAGTTCCTCTTTTCTCGAACAATTTCCATTATATCTATCGTTTCATTGCATATTGTTGTGATATAATTGTTTTTGTATTATGTTTTGCACGAGGTATAAAATCATTGAACTATATTTAGCATATGAGTTAAAGAGGGCGCTCTTCAAATCTCAGATATTGACAAGTGTATCCTATCTCTGCTCCTCCTCTCCCCCCCCCCCCCCCCCCTCTCTCTCTCTCACTCTCTCTCTTGTCCTGGTTTTTTGTTTTTGTTTGGGGGGATTAACTCTTATCCCCACGTGCCAAGCCCCAAATCCCCCTGTGCCAGATTGTTTTGGAGATAATCCTATTAACGCGATGGTTCTATGAATAGCGCGTGCAAAACACTAGGCAAAGTCCAATGGGCATGAACAATAATTGCTATTACATTTGCGTGCAATCATGCAAGAAGCAGAGGAGCAATAGCTTGCTAGCGTGTACATGGCACCTTAACAATAGCGTGCTAGCAGCCTTATGGCAGGCTATGAGTTAAGGGCCGAAGTGGCCTTATTCGGGGGGGGGGGGCGCCCTTAGAGTCTAGTCCTGAGAGACAGCGGGATTCCTGAAGGCAAACTATCCTAGAAAAAAACAATTAATTTTCAACTTACATATTAATTAATGATATGTCAAACAAATAAGACATGATTCAGTTGATTAACTTTGTCTTAATCCATGCTGTAAATCATAAATTATGCTGTTTTCTATGAAATATTTTTCAATTTGAACATAAACCGCATTTTCAACAAATTGTTGTTACTGTTCGCTCAATGGGCCTGTAGTGACTTGACCTTTGGAGAACTTTGCATTTGTAAATATTATTGTCTTGTCTTTATTGTGTGGCTTGAAGTCTAGCCTTTTATTCCATTGTCACTCATTTCTTTAGTGACACCTGTTGCATTACTAGAGTGCCACAAATACTTACTCTGGCAAGCACATTCCATACCCTATGGGTTGGGATGTGCAACCACCTAATGTACTGGTATAGCTTATACTGTACAGGGACATTACACTTGCTTGCTTTATTTGCCACACCTATTTTTATCACTTCTCCTGAGCTGTTCATATAGAGCACACCTATTCTAGAGAGTCGATCGATCAACAGCAAAGCTAATTCAGCTTCATCTGAATTCTTGTCCTATTTCTTCGCTTGTTTCTCTACTCGGTTCTGAGGCCTTATTACTTTATAGA